GGAAGAATGAAGGGGGGGAAATTGGAGGGGAAATGAACCATGAGAGATGATGGACTCTGAGAAACAAACTGAGGGTTCTAGAGGGGAGGGGCATGGGGGGATGGGTTAGTCTGGTGATGGGTATTAAAGAGGGCACGTTCTGCATGGAGTACTGGGTATTATGAACAAACAATGAATCATGGAACACTACATTAAAAACTAATGATGTAATGTATGGTGATTAACATAACAATAAAAAATTTAAAAAAATAATAAAGTGAAGGGGTAGAAAACAATTTATCTTGCTAATGGACATCAAAATAAAGCTGGGGTGGCAATCCTTATATCCGACAAATTAGATTTTAAACCAAAGACTGTAATAAGAGATGAGGAAGGACACTATATCCTACTTAAAGGGTCTATCCAACAAAAAGATCTAACAATTGTAAATATCTATACCCCTAACATGGGAGCAGCCAATTATATAAGCCAATTAATAACAAAAGCAAAGAAACACATCGACAACAATACAATAATAGTGAGGGACTTTAACACCCCCCTCACTGAAATCCAAATCAAAACCTCAATGAGATACCACCTCACACCTCTCAGAATGGTGAAAATTAAGAAGTCAGGAAATGACAGATGTTGGCGGGGATGCGGAGAAAGGGGAATCTCCTACACTGTTGGTGGGAATGCAAGCTGGTGCAACCACTCTGGAAAACAGTATGGAGGTTCCTCAAACAGTTGAAAATAGAGCTACCATACAACCTAGAAATTGCACTACTGGGCGCAGTAAGATACAAATGGAGTGATCCGAAGGGGACATGAACCCCAATGTTTATAGCAGCAATGTCCACAATAGCCAAACTGTGGAAAGAGTCAAGATGTCCATCGACAGATGAATGGATAAAGATGTGGTGTGTATATATACACACACAATGGAATATTATGCAGCTATCAAAAGGAATGAAATCTTGCCATTTGCAACGACGTGGATGGAACTGGAGGGTATTATGCCGAGTGAAATAAGTCAATCAGAGAAAGACATGTATCATATGACCCACTGATGAGGAATTCTTTTTTTTTTTAATTTTTTTTAAATTTTTTTATTGTTATGTTAATCACCATATATTACATCATTAGTTTTTGATGTAGTGTTCCATGATTCATTGTTTGTGCATAACACCCAGCGCTCCATGCAGAATGTGCCCTCTTTAATACCCATCACCAGGCTAACCCATCCCCCTACCCTCCTCCCCTCTAGAACCCTCAGTTTGTTTTTCAGAGTCCATCGTCTCTCATGGTTTGTCTCCCCGTCCGACTTACTCCTCCTCATTCTACCAATAGACATTGGGTAGGGTATGTACTATCGTGAGCGCTGTGATTGTGTAAGACTGTTGAATCACAGACCTGTACTTCTGAAACAAATAATACATTATATGTTAAAAAAAAAAAGAAGAAGAAGAAGAAGATAGCAGGAAGGGAAAATGAAGGGGGGGAAATCAGAGGGGGAGAGGAACCATTAGAGACTATGGACTCTGAGAAACAAACTGAGGGTTCTAGAGGGGAGGGGGGTGGGGGGATGGGTTAGCCTGGTGATGGGTATTAAAGAGGGCATGTACTACATGGAGCACTGGGTGTTATACGCAAACAATGAATCATGGAACACTACCTCAAAAACTAATGATGTAATGTATGGTGAAAACATAACATAATAAATTTTTTTAAAAATTAACCACCAAAAAAAAAAAGAAGAAAAGAAACTCTGCATGGCAAGGCTCATGTTTTGGTTCAATGATGTCTCCAGGTGCCCAGAAGGGGATCTTGTACTTAGTAGCAATTCTATATATTCACACTGAATTAATGAATAAGGGAAGACCCTCCTTTCCCTAATCTGTAAAATGAGGGGCTGATTTACTTGGCCCTGAGTTTGTTCCCAACTCCAATACTACAGCACCCTAAATAGAGTTCAACAACCCACCTGCCACCTTCAGTTCCAAACTGGCAGATTCATAGAAGCTTCCCTTTCTGAAGAAACAGGTATATAGGCCATTGTCAAAAGCCTGGACATTGTGGATGTGCAGGATGGCCTCCCCCCAGGTGAGGAATTCCTTCACCAGTGAGGTGCGCCCTGTGTACTGGGCCAACTGCTCCTCTCTCTGCTCCTGCTGGTTTTGATAGATGAACACTGCTTCTGAGAAATTGGAGTGGAACCACCGCAGCTCCATGTTCTCCACATTCATGGCCGGAAACACACGACATGGCAGCGTGATGTTCCCACCCAGCACTGCCACAATGGGGTCCGAGGAGCCAATCACCACGAACTCCTCTGTGGACACAGACATAGGAGTGAGAAAGCTGGAGAGGTGAAGGACAGGGGCAGGGAACACACTGTCAGGTGGGAGGCCCTGATCTGAGGGACTCAGTTGTGACCACTCTGAATCAGGGCAAGTTTGTGCTTTAACAACTTAGAGACCCAGCAATGATGTCAAAGAGACTCCCTCAGCAGCCTGTGCTCCTGGCTCCAGGTCTTCCATGAAGGACTCTCAAACTCAGTGGTTCTAACCTTCCACAGGCATCACAATCACCAGGAAGGCTTGAGAAACACAGATTTCTGGTCTCCACCCCCAGAGCATCTGGTTCAGCAGTTTTGGGGTGGGTCTAAGAATGTGTATTTCTAGGGGTGATAGGGATTCTGCTACAAATATTCCAGGGACCACACTCTGACATCCACAGCTCTAACCTGCCTCCTCTTAGGACAGGACTGAAAACTGACCAAAAAGAACCTGTGGCCTAGGTGGGAACTCTGCTTCTTCAGCCACACTCAGGAACTTACCCAGAGCTGCTCCTAAGTTAAATATTTGTCCCCATATCTTAGTACTTTGCTGAATTACATGTGCACTAATAACTAGAGCCCACAGCTATTTCTGTTAAAACCTGCCCCCACTCCATCAATCACAGGACCCAAATCACGACTTGTTACAAAGGAAGGTTCACTTCAGTGTCACACCCCTCACAGGCCTTGGTCTTCTGAGAACTGATGGACATGTCACGACAGGACACTCCTGCAGAAAGACCCCAGCTGGACCTCAGAAGAGTGACTTCTCACCTCCTGTGCTACTCAACTTCGGCTGAGTCACTGTATGTCTCACCTGCAGGATGACAGTGACTAGGCTCCCTGTGACTATTCTCTCCCCAACTATTCTCTTTCAGCCTGTAAGCAAAACCATGTCCCTCCTCTGCTCAAAGCCCTACAATGGCTCCACAGTTCTCCCACGTGGCCCACAGGCCCAATAGGGATGACCCCCCCCCGCACTGCTCTCTGACCCCCGGTGCTTGCTTCTCTCCCTCTCGCTCACTCTGCTCCAGCCAACACTTACCTCCTTGGCTCCTTGAACACCCAGGCACACCGCCGGCTTTGCTCTGGCTGCTCCGCGTGATAGAAAGCCTCAATCCAGGGGGATCCTCACAGGATGACACACCACCTCCACCAACTTTCATTCCCATCTCACTGCCTACATTGACCACCTTATGGAGCACCTTGTGGAGCCTGCCTACAGCCCTCCTGCACCCCTCACTTCCACACTCTGCTCTACTTCCTTGTCCCATGCTCTCCACTCCTCTAACAGACGTAGATCGTATGGGGTTGTGGTATTTACTGCTCCCTGTCTCCTGCCAGAATGAGCTGTGTGAAGACAGATACTCTCTCATTTTGTACATAGAGTAACACCTAACACACATTGGACACCCTGTCAGTATCTGTGGGTGTAATGAAATAATCACAGTATAAGTGGTTAGATACCAATAGAGCCAGGAAACAAGAAATGAGGGGAAATTCATTTCCACACTTTTCATAGTTTTTACTTTATAAGCCATAAATTCGTTGTTAGACAACTGTTATGATCCCATGTCTTTATTTTATGGCTTAGGAACTCTTCTTAAATGTTTAATTATAATTAGCAGTTGGAGGATCACCAGAATCTCTCTAGAGCCACAGCCTCCACCAAAAGCCATCCATCCTGATGGAGACACCAGCAGAGCTCCCAGGGGCTCTCACCCACCCCAGGGAGACACAGGAAGGGGGAGGGGACACACTCACCTGCAGACCCCCCAGTGGGCAGCTGGAAGAGGAGAAGCAGGAAGGGGAGATGGGAGAGCAAAGAGCCCCTGCAGCAATCCTTCATTTCCTCACAGCTGGGGAGACACAGGGCAGGAGGCAGGTGAACATCAATGGAAAGGAGGCAGGACCAGCCCACAGCTCTGGGCCTCGGAGCAGACAGCAAGGCTCAAGGCTGGCAACAGTCCCCAGCAGGAGCAGAGCCTTTCTCACTGCCCATTATGCTCCTGGGGTGGGGGCCTCCACAACCCTGATACCAAGAAATCCCTCCCAGCCCTTTGGAAACTTTCCCAGCCTGCTCTGCCTATAGGACCAGAACCTTCCTGCCTCAGCACAGGGGCCTCCTCCATGTCTGCATGAGTCACAAGACACTCAGACCCCTCCAGGGGTCACAAGGTGAAGGACACACCAGCTCCTGCATGCTGTTCCTCTGCTGCCCCCTAATTATGACCAGGGAATTACTGAGAAGCATGAGAGTCAGACCTGGTCCACCTCAAGGACACCGTGGCTCTACCACATGCACCCTGTCCTCGGGTCTTTTGCTTGTTGAGTTCACCTGAATTTTAGGCCGCTCCCCCCCCAGCCCTTTCTTCTCAAGACCAAGAACCTGGACTTCCATATAGTCAGTGCCCAGTCAGTACCCCATGATAAGATAATAATCTTCATCTTCTCTATCTCTGAGGAGTTTCTGCCTCAGGATAAAGGATTCCAGAGAGACAGAGCAGCAGAAGATAAAATGAGTCCTGGTCAGAAAAAAAGAGCTTCAAACCAGTTATACATGGATGGCAGCCAATTGTTCTGGGAAGGAAAGAAATTGGGGTTGACTGCTGACATCTCCTCCACGCTCAGCCACTTTCTGTGTGACTTTCTTAGGCAAGATTCTTAACCTGCTCTGCCTCAGCTCCTCATCTGCAAAATGGGAATAGTAACAGGATTTCACCCAAAGATATAAGGAGAATCCTAGAAATTTATTTATTGACAGTCAGTACATGTCATTAGAACTGTCCCTGGTCTTAATAATGCCACAGAAATGTCATTAAATATGAGTAAAAGTGCAGCCCTCACTGTAGTTGCCCTGGGTCTTCTCAGAACCTCATTATTATCCAGCACCACCACCCCCAGTCCCACCACAATTTCAGCCTCCTCCTCCCAGCCAGCTGCTCCCAGCTTCCCTCCTCTTGTCCAACAAGTGTCTTCAGAACCCACTCACCTGCTTGAAAACCCGGGACTTCATAAATATCTCTAACTTAGCAGTGCAAGATCTCAGCCGACCCCAAATCTGTTTTCAGAAATTGCATCTGCAGTTCGCTGCTCGAGTCCCACACCCTGCTTCCAGATCCAACCCTGGTGCTACAGGCTCCTCTTGTCTGAGAGGCAAGTGGTTCCCAGGAGAGCAGAGAAGCAGAGCCTGGGACAGGTTGCTGGGGCCTGTCCCAAAACAGGGAGCTGGGGCACTCAGCACTCCCAGAGAGAAGAATCCACCTTGTGCTGACTTCTTCCACCATTTGAAAGTGAAAGCTTACAACAAGAAATCGCAGCAGACTCTGCCCTGCCCTCTGGACGGTGCACCCTAGTTATCAGGAAGGAAACAGCATGATCAGAGCCATGAAACAGGGCAGGGACAGATACACTGACCCACTCTGCAGGAGGACACACAAGACACAGACTCAGCAACAATTTATTGAACAACTACTACTCTTCAGGTTGCCCGACTGTTCACTACTAAGATGATACCATGTCTGTGGGTGTCTCTCAGGTACAAGAGCCTTTGTGGAGCCACCAGCATAGCTGCTTTGCTTTTTTTCAGCAGGAGACCAACCACATCATCCCACAACCTGGCAATGGACAGTTTAATACCGGGCATCAGGATCTTTCAGGACCAGCTCCAGGAACCTGTCCCTGCAGAAGCAAATGCACAGTGCTGTGTGGCTTCTTAGTACTTTACTATCACCCCCGCATGGCCTGGGTACACCTTTCAGCCCCTCCCTGCCAGGCCACAGTGCGCACCAGGAAATGTGGACTCTATGGTCTCTGAAGGAAAACCATGGAGCACTAGGGCTTCTTCTCTAGCCCTTCCCTTCCTGCAGTTCCCCATCTCAGTAAAGGACACCTGCGTTCAGCCAGTTATGTCTGCCAGAAACTTGAAGCACATTCCTCACACTCCACATTCTTAATCTACTTCCAATGTAGTAGAAAGTTTAAGAGTTTCTCAAATCCATATTCACTGTCAGCGTCTACCTACAATACATCCTTATTTCCTCCCTGATCCAAGCAGGGTGTCCCTGCTTTCCCATGAGTGTCCCTTGACACCTCCAGCCTCACCTCCTCAAGTTCATTTTCCCTCCAAGGTCATCTCAAGACAGCTTATGTCAGCTCTCCTCATCCCTTCAAGGGATACCCCACTAAACTTCTTGTCTATAGTCTCAGACCCTGTCTTTATCTCTAACATCATCCATCACTTACCCAGTTGGTCGTTCACTGGCCTGGGAGAGTTTCTCCAGGACACAGAGCTTCCCAGCTTTGGGCGATCTCACAAGCCACTGAATGTTCCCCTCTCTCTCTCTCTCTCTTCCCTCAAACTGGTTACCATTCCAATCTTGCCTAACGTTATCTTCCTCAGAGGGGCCTTCACCAACCTGCTCATCCCTATATGTGCCCCATACATGTGCTTACTGGGGTTTTAGTGGCACCCTGTTCTCCTCCACAGCCCTGACATGCGATCTTCTGTGGAATGTCTGTGGCATCCACAAAGGGAGGCACTGTGTGCCCTGTTCACGAGTCCAGCACACAGTAAACACTCAGGAAACTTCACTTGAGCTCATGTGCAGAGGACTCACTTCAGCAGCACATTGGCTACTCAGCCCTGTCCAAATTCGGAAAACACTTCAGTCCACTGAGAAACACGAAGACTGTTAACTCTGACCTAAACACTTCAGCCCCTGGGTGGATACAACACCTCCACCATCTTCTCTGCTCTTTTTTTCTTCCTACCCCAAACATATATGCAACACTGAAGCATCACCAGGATAGAAACTCAGATTTAACCACCTTACCTATGTTTGCTCCCTCAAGCCTGCCCAGTGCTCAGGTGTTCCTGTGTGACTGGTGTTAAGACACTAGTCTGGGCCAGCGCTTCGTGGCCACACTTCTGCCAGCTTTCTGTCATTACTGTCTTTATTCTACAGGTGAGGAAACCAAATCTCTCAGTTTCACAACCACACTCCCAGC